CTACTCACCCCCCCCCCCCCCCTACCTCTCTCTCTCTCTCTCTCTCTCTCTCTCTCTCTCTCTCTCCCCCCTGATTGGTATGAATTGTTTTCCTTCTCACAACCACCATTATGGGGTAGCAACCTTTTGTGTCATCAATATTTCGTATTTTGGTTCCTGATTTATGCTTGTTATGTTGGAACAAATGACATACCATGTTTAAGTTTAAACTTTAGGGTCATACTTATTTTGTTGAAAAGAATATTTCAAGTGACGTCCAAGGATCAATGGGGTTGTTTGGTTTCAATTTTACAGTTTCAAGGAATGGATTCAACTTGAATCAAGCAATTTCTAAGGATGACATAGCCCCAATTGTGGTGGTGATTCCTGGACTGACGAGTGATTCTTCTTCTGCTGTAAGTTCTCTTTCATACTTTAGCCTCGTAGATGCACACCAACTTATAATGTGGCGGAAAACTTCTGTAGCCTTTCACGGATACCTAATATTTCTATTCACATCTGGTGGGGCACGCCAATCTTCTTTTGATGATTGCCTTCCTTTATGGGCTTTTGAGCCCCAATATGTTTTCAAACACAAACATGGGGTTGCTTTCTCTTCTTTTTTTTTTTTCCGGCTTGTCCATGAAGCCTATAAGTTGTTGCTTGAACAGCCAAGCTTGTAGATGGATATGCACGTCCAAAAGATCTGGCAGTATTGATGAAGCACCTTGACTTATATTGGATATAAGTTTGGGTTCGTTCTCTTGCTGTTCCTTCTTCGAGGAACTATGTTTTTATTTCCCATCCGCCATTCTACATATGTACTTTAGGACTGATCTTTTTTTTTTGTTGACATGCACTTTATGACTAGTGTTATCTGGATTAAGCAGATTTTATAGGTTTTTTGTTAAAAGAAAATTGAGATTGCATATGCCTGAATGGATCAATGGATACAAATGTATAATAGATTCGTTCTATCTTTGGGTTAAACTTGGTGCGATTATACATCATAAGTGTCTAATGGTTACAAATTCATAGTTCTGATCAATTGTTAAGAGGTGTCCTGAACGCTAAAGCGGTGAAACAGATTTGACTGTAACTATTATGAATTTTAAGTATCTTTTCACTCAGTGTTTTAAAATGCGGCGGCATCGCCGCATCATGCGGGATGCGCTCGCATCCGCATCGCAAACTGGCGCATATGCGCTTTTGACAGATGCGCTCGCATCCGCATCGCAAACTGGCGCATATGCGCTTTTGACAGATGCGACCGCATATGCGCCGCATCATGGCCGCATCCCGCATCATGGCCGCATCGCCTGCATCTGTTTTCCACGGAAAAATTTATCGATTTCGGTCTTTTTGAACTTCCAAAGTTTAGGGAAACTGTTTGGGGGGTTATTATACCCCTTAAATGAAGATTTCCATCCACTTTTGTGGCTTTTTTTGCATCAAATCGAGGGAAAAAAAATTTTTGGGGGAAAATTTTTTTTCATCCAAATCTTTGATTTGGCAGTTGTTTGATACTTGGATGTGTTCACTTGATGCCTTTGGTTGTTGATTTGGGGATGCTAAGGTGAATTTGTGATAAGAAATTGGGGGTTTAAGAGGCTGTGAAGAAATCGAGCACTACTTCACAGAGTCGATAACTTTTTATTCCTTCTTGTACAATAATACTGCTGTACTTATTTTTGGGGCAATGTCTTCTTCCCAATCTTCTAGTAACAAGGATCGAGCTTGGAAATATGCTAAACTAAAAAATCCGAAAGATAGAAATTGTGTGGTATGCTTGCTCTGTGGAAATACTTATATGGGTGGTATTTTTCGACAAAAAGAGGATTTAGCCGGAATTTCTGGGAATGTAAGAGTATGCCCACAAGCTACAGATGATATAAAAAAGGAGATTAGAGAATCTTTGGATAGATTGAAAAAAGATAAAGAGAAGAAAAAGAAAAATAGAAAGGAATTACTTGATGATATGCAATTATTTGATGATGTTGATGATGATGATGATGATGATGATGATATGTCTGAAGTTGCTATGAGGCAAAGGGGTATTCATATTCCAACCTCAAGAGAGAGGGTTATAAATATTGGTGGTAGTGCTAAGAGAAGCACACCTCTCTCTAAGGGACCAATGGATTCTTTTTTCACCCCTAGCCCCAAAATTGTGGTTCAGGAGAGAGAAAAAAACAAAACCAACCACAATTGAAAATAAATATAGGAAAGAACAAAGGAAGTTTGTATATAAGTGGATTGTAAAGTGGATTTACATGGGCGACATTCCTTGTAATACTATAACTCTTGATAGTTTTGTATGTATGGTCCAGGCAATTGGGCAATATGGCCCAGGACTTATTCCTCCTTCACTACATGAGGTTAGGGAGCCCTTGTTGAAGGATACTACTGTATTTGATGTGAATAAAATTTGATTTCTCAGAGAGAAGGGTGGGAGAAATATGGGGCCACTATTATGTGTGATGGTTGGTCCGATGGGAAATCAAGGGCATTCATTAATTTTTTGGTTAACTGCCCAACAGGTACTTTTTTTGTTAAGTCTATTGATGCATCAGACAATTCACATGATGGTACATACTTATGTGGCTTGATGGATGAGATTGTCGATTTTGTTGGGGAGCAAAATGTGGTATAAACTATCACTGACAATGGTGCCAACTATTCTGCAGCTGGGCATTTCTTGACATTGAAAAGGAAGCATATGTTTTGGACTCTTTATGCAGCTCACCGTGTTAATCATATGCTTAAGGAAATTGGTACAACATCTTTATTTAGTGGGGTGATTTCAAGAGCTATATTTGTTGTTGGATTTATTTACAATCATACCATAGTCTTAAGCATGATGAGGTCTTTTACAAAGAAGAGAGAATTAGTGAGACCAGGTATTACTAGATTTGCCACGTCATTTCTCACTCTTCGAAGCCTAGCCAAGCAAAAAAGTGCCCTGAGGACTATGTTTGCTTCAGAGCAATGGAGTCAAAGCAAGTGGTTAAAGCATAAGGATGGGAGAAAGGCTGAAAAAATTATTCTAAATACATCTTTTTGGAGTCAAATAATTATTGCATTGGAGCTGGCTCGCCCTTTAGTGAGAGTGCTTCGACTGGTTGATGGTGATGCGAAGTCCGTCATGGGCTACATACATGAGGTAATGACTAGGGCAAGAACTGAAATAAAAGATATTTAAAGGATGATGAAAATATGCTGAAGGCTATACTTGAAATTATTGATAGGAGATGGGATATCTAGGCACCTCCATTCAGCCGGTTACTTTCTAAACCCATCTCTTCACTAAAACCACCCATCCATTGAGTCAGATCATGTAATAAATGGTGGGTTCTTAGATGTGTTGGAGAGGTTGATAATAGACAAAGATATCCAGGAGGAGATCTAGAGTCATGAATTGATTAAGTTCAAGTTAGCCTTGGAAAACTTTGGGAGAGATATTGTCACTCGAAATAGGGACACTACAGATCCAGGTAAAGGCCAAAAGCCCAAAAATAATCTTTCTTGTCTCTTACTTTATGTATAGTTCCATTGTTTATTTTATACCCTTAATTTTTAACTATATTATGAATTATAAAATATTATATAGCTGCATGGTGGGCATTATATGGAAGCGAGACACCAAATCTACAACGTCTCGCTATTCAAGTGTTGAATCTCACATGTAGCTCATTTGGTTGTGAGCGCAATTGGAGTGCATTTGAGCATGTAAGTCCTTTACTCCTTATTCCTTAATCCTTATTTCTTGAATTTCAAATTTCTAATCGAAAATCTAATTTATCTGATTTCAAATTTCTACCACAGCTCCATACAAAAAAAAGAAATAGGTTGGAGCAGAAAAAGTTGAATGATTTGGTTTATGTGTGGTACAACGAGCAGCTTAGGCAGAAGTATGAAAACGTACGAAGCTCAACCCTATTCAATTATGTGAAGCTGATGGTGATTCCATAAGTGAGTGGACCATGGATCCAAGATAAGAGCGTGTGTTTCAGGGTGAGGATCTTACATGGCTTGATGTCGAGCTAGCAACAGGGGCTAATGAAGAATATCGACCTAACACTGGAGCACAAAGGAGTAGAGGAGCTGCTGGGTCTAGTCGCACTCGCACATTAGCTTCAGAGGTCAAGGAGGAGGAAGCTGACTCAGAGGAGACCAATGAAGAAGAATATATAGAGGCCGTCGAGGATGATATTGATGATGCGCATGACGACTCTCAAGATGACTCGTCTGATTGTTATTTGAAAAAATGAAGTTCAAATTTCAAAATTGACTCTCAAAATGGATGATTGTATTAAGTTATCAACTATTAACTCTTTTTGAGCTTGACTTTTGGTTTGTATTTTGTAATATCACTATTTTGTGCTTATGGTTGTACTTATGGTTGTTGATGGTTGTGCTTATGGTGCAAATTTGTGCTTATGGTTGTTGATTGTTGAATGCTTTATGAAGCTGGTTTCTAGTTTCTAGTTTCTATCAGGGGATAGTGGATAACTGGATACAGAAATTCCGACAGCTAATAGTTTTGAAGTTAATCATTAAACTAAAATGGCTACTATCACATAAATCACCGTCATATTTTTTTCTATGCATTAATTTATTTTTTTAGATTTTTTAGAATTTTTTTACTTTTATTGATCGCAGCATCGCAATAAACCTGCATCCGGGCCACATAGGCCCACCACTGTATCAGGGCCGCATCCCGCATTTTAAAATATTGTTTTCACTACATTTTCCAGTGGCTCTCAAAGATATTGTGTATCTTATATGCCTTTGAGAAAGTAGTTGTAAGGCTTCCCTCTTCACCAAAACCTATTATTTTCTTTCTTTTTTTCTTTAATCTACATTGAAAATTCCTACTTAGCATTTTGTTGTCTTTGACTTCGATACCTTGGGAATAACCCACAACTGCATGTGCATAATGTCTTAGCTGACTAAGTGTATTTGTGTGGCATGACATCATGGAATTTAAAAAAAAATAAAAATAAAAAAAAATAAAACTTGAAGTGAATTCAAATTTTTCATCTAGTGGGTGGGAGGGACGAAGGGGGGGGGGGAGAGAGAGAGAGAGAGAGAGAGAGAGAGAGAGAGAGAGAGACGAGTAGACGTA